CAGACTAGTCTGTCACTTGACAGTATTGTTCATGATCAGGCAATATGTTTGAAAATTGTGTCAAACTGACACTTGAGGTTTCAATTAATCCCTTCTCAAAGAAAGCGGCAAGTTTCACATATGTCAGAGCTTTTTCTCCCTTAAATTACACTGAAATGTTTGGGGCTTTTGTGCAACTACTACTATTTTTTAAACCCATAATGCAGCATGTAGATGACAGAATCAAGCTAGACTTCTCAGAAGCTGGATTTTTTGGGGGGCTATCATTTAAAGATCGTTTATGAGACTAATACATAAAATAACACAATGAAAATATGTAATGATATTGTAATCTTGAAAATAATTATGTACATCCTTAATATAGGACTTGTGTCACACAGAACTTTCAGACACCAGGCACAAAACATCTTGTCCATTGAAGCATATAGAGTGAAATTCAATCCTGTGCGAAGTATCGACACCAGCCCGTGTACAACTTCAGTCCCACTTTAAGCCCTTGAAATGAGGCTTAAGTGGGATTTAAATGGTGCACAGGTCTCTCCGCTCAGAAGTTAATTTCACCCTCAAAGATTAATAATACAGATTTCAAGGGATAGTTACGCTGTTTCCTACCAAATTGTGGCTGGAGTCCAAAGACTGTTTGCCATTACACAAAATCAATACAACTATAAGTAGGCCAGGGTGAAATTATGAAACTCCCATAATAACTCCACAATGGAGAAAGGCTGTGTTTGAAAACTTGAAGAATATTATAAAATGAAAACTTTAATTTTTACTTCATTATACTCCTGTGAAGAGATTTATCAGACTTACAAACCACTACTGAAAAGATTTAAGGCCATTCACCACCTTTACCTGAAATGATGTAGTAATAACAAATATACTCAGGAAAAGCAACATTTACACACCCTAGCAAATCCAGCTTCCGAAAATCAACACCTTCATTTTCTCACTGCAACTTTGTCTAAAAGAAAGTAAAGTAAAATAAATAATAAAAGCCACTACT